AGCTAAGTCTAAAACTGATCTGAAGGCCTAAGTTATGGTCCTTAGCTTAGATGTTTAGATGCCAGGAGATTTGTTGGGCTCCACCATAAGGTCAGGGCACCATGGCTTCCCTTGCCTGCTGATTCTTAGCTCCATTCATCACATTTAAGCAAGAAAAATCTCCACTGGTATGCAAAGCTTAAATAAAAATAAACCAACATAGTTTATTTGTATATTTATCCACATGGAAGCACGCAGTGAGGTAACCCAAGGTTTCTGTCTGCGGGCCAGTCCTCTTCAACTTCTTCATAAATGATCTAGACAAGGGGATAGGAGGAAGATAGATTCAAGATCTGAAGGATCTTGCTAGACTTGAGCATAGGGCCTAGCTGATAAGATATAATAGGCCAACCGATTCTACAAAGCATCTGAAGGCAGGACAAGAAACAATGGAGAAATTTCCTGACAGTGAGATGATAGTAAATTAGTTGGAACAGCTTGCCTTCAGAAGTTGTGCTTGCTCCATCACTGGAGGTTTTGAATAAGAAGATTTTGTCTGAAATGCATAGAGCCTCCTCCTTGAGCAGGAGGTTGAACTAGAAGACCTCCAAGCTCGCTTCCAACTATCATATGTTTTTCTGTTAAAATGTAGTTCAATGGGGAGAAAAGGTCCTGCACTTAGGCAAAAAAAAAGAAATGCACTACTACGGTATAAGCATGGCTGAACAATAGCAACTCTGAGAGGGATCTAGGAGACCTAGTGGACTCCTGATTAAGTAGGAGCCAGCCCTGTGCTGCAAGGCCAATCCAGTCCTGGACTGCATCAACAGAGGGAGAGCATCAAGATCACACGAAGAAGTGATAGTATTGCTTTATACTGAACAGCGAGGCCACACTTGGAATACAGAATCCTAGTCTCATCACCATGATACAAAAAGATGCTGAGACCCTAGAAATATTGCAGAGAAGAGCAACTAGGATGATAAAAGGCTGCAGGTTAAATTGTAGGAGGACTGGTTAAGGGAACTGGGTAGGTCTAGTCTAATGAATAGAAGAATTAGGGGTGACATGATCACCATCTTCGGGTACATGAGGGACCCCAGAGGGGTGAGGTTGACTTATTCTCCAAAGCACTCCAGGGTGGGACAAGAAACAATAGGTGGAAGCTTGTTAAAGAGAAATCCAACCTGGAACTAAGGCAAAACTTCCTGACAATGAATGCAACCAATGAAACGGTTTGTATCCCAGAACTGTGGGTACTCCATTACTGGAGGTGTTCAAGAAAAGATTGGGCAGCCATTTTGAAGATTCAGTTGCTTAAAACACTCTTGCTGTGTGCTCCCACGTGCCTTAAAGCAGAGGGAAGAAGAAGAACTGGTGTGGACAATTTCAACTGTGATGACTTGAGGATGGGATTTCACTTGGAAGCTGTCAAGAGACTTTATTAGAGGCTCTTTGCAGGTGGTTTGACGTAATCGTTAAGGAGCTTAGCATTAAGGAGCCATCTGAAGTTGCACAAAGGTTCTTCCAGGTGGACAGTCAGCAAACGAATCTGGTTATCAAGACATTTTTTCTCCTGCAAGACAATGGGGACCCTCCAAACATGGCATACGTATATTACTCAGGTCTGAACCATGAGGGTTGCTTTGTGTAAAAGTTGAGATTCTAACTTTACAGAAAGACCTTCCATAAAGTCACTTTGCCAACTGATGGATTGGCAAAACATGTACAAAAAAGCCAGTTTAGAAAGATAAGAAGTGGGCAGATTGCATCAGTCCGTGGACCAAGCTGGGTCAAGGCACGCTAGAGTCTAAGGCAAGCTCTTTCTCAGCTACGCCAGAGAAAATGGGTCCTTCTGCATGCAAATCACGGGTTATTGAATGGCAAACATTTCTATAGGTTAAAAGCTTTCAGGGCTGGGAAGGACCCTCCTCTTACATTGGACCCTGCAGAGTTCCTATCCATCAAAGCAGAAAACAGTCCTCAGTTATTTTTTGGAGATTTATTTTTTGCAGGAGCAGAAAGAATGAATCAAAAAATGATTTAGGTTACCATCATGCTGGCTGCTGGTGCAAGATCATCTTGGACTCTTTGTGTTTCCAGAGCCACTTGTTTAAAATCTGTGAAAGAAAATAAAACAGTTACAATAGATCCCAAGAGCTTCCAAAGGAATTTGAGAAACCAAACTGGACTGAGGCCTCTATCAGAAGCCCCAACGTATTGTGGGAAAGGAGAAAGAAGTTTATTGTTTTTATAGAAATTGTAGAAGAAGGTACTAATCTTTGAAATGAATACATTGTGTACTTATCTAATCTTATAAATGTTGCTCATGCCTAAAGCTGCACCTAGGAACGAAGGGATGAGAGGCCCCAGGTATGTTCAAAACTGGTTTTAGCTGGAATTTGCTGGCATGGTAACTGGTTTAGAGACAACCCCCAGAAACTGATAGGGAATAATGTATTCATTTTAGGTGCCTTGGATAGATTGCGACAGCCTGAGTACTCAGCCAATGAGGAAAAGGTGGGAGGTAAACTTGCAATGCTTATCAGGACTATAAAGAAAGTATATTGATGACATCTGTATTCTTCCCACCAGATATTAATCCGAAAGCAATTCAAGCAGAGATGGTAAAAGTTCAGTGAGAACAACCACCACCCATGTAATGTAGGCAACTCTGTTCTATCTACTGAGCTTCAGCACTCAATAGAGTCATTGAGGGCCCATTGGGTACTAAATGTAAGAAAATTGGGAGAGAGATGATAACTTTCTTCGCAAACCTCCAACAGTAGTTCTAAGCAAGAGAAGGCATGGCTCATGAGAATTAGTTCTCACTAAATAGAATACAGAACATAGAATATTAGGGTTGGAAGGGACCTTGGAGGTCCTCTAGCTCATCCCCTGCCTGTGGCAAGAGACCCTATATGGCTGTCCAGTCTCTTCTTGAAAACCTCCAGCGATGGAGTACCCACAACTTCTAATGGGAAGCCATTCCACTGATTAATTGTTTTCAGTGATAGAAAAATGTTCCTTAGTTCTAGGTTGGATCATTCCTTGATAGGTTTTGATCCATTCTTCTTGTCACACTCTCAGGTGCTTTGGAAAGTAAGTCCACCTCCTCTTCTCTCTGACAGCCCCTCAAGACTATCCTATCACCCCTCGTGTTTGACTAGACTTTCTCAGTTCCCACAATGACTCATTATCTGGTTAAATTCCAGACACCTAGTCATCTTTCTTGCTTTTCTGTGCACTCTTCCTAGAGTCTCCTCATCTTTTTTAATTGTGGTGACCAGAAGTAGACACAGGACTCCAAGTGCAGAGCTGCTAAGTGCTACTGTCGCTTCACATGATCTTGATTCTATCCCTCTGCTGAGGCAGCCTTGGACTGCATTCGCTTTTTTGGAGGCTGCAGCACCTGACTGGCTCATACTTAAGTGGCGGCCCACCAGGACCCCTAGCTCTGCCTCACATGTGCTCTCATGGAACCAGAAAGTGCCTATTCTGTAACTCTGCATTTGTTTTTGGTTTTTTTGCCTGTGTGTAGGGCCTTACTCCTACCACCACTGAACCGCTTCTTGTTGGAGAGAACTCATTGTTTGAGTCTGACAAGATCCTTCTGAATATTGAATTTATCTTCCTCCTATCCCCTCGTCTAGATCATTTATGAAGACGTTGAAAAGCACTGGTCCCCCCACCAAACAAGACTCTTGGAGTACCTCACTGTATGCTTCCTTTCATGTGGATAAACATAAAAACAAACCATTTTTACATACGAGTGAAGAGTTTTTTTGCCTAAATGTGATGAGTGGAGCTAAGAATCAGCAGGCAAGGGATGCCATGGTGCTCTGACCTTATGGTGGAGCCCAACAAATCTCCTGGCACCTAAACGTCTAAGCTACGGACCATAACTTAGGCCTTCAGATCAGTTTTAGACTTAGCTGTTTCAGCTACTGCTGGCATTTAAGATTAATGTCTGTCCTTCTGACACCATTTCTGCAGTAGAAACAGTTCTGGATCCTGATTTGTTGCTATAGTATATTTTATTTAAAATGTTAGTACATGAATGGGGAATAGAGGAATCAGTACAGATGATGTGTGTGTGTGTGTGTGTGAATAGTTTTTTTAAAACAGGTCTGAATGCTGATGATTATTTCTGGCTATGTTTTGGTTGTTTTTCCCATGTGACTGAAATGTGACTATTATAAGAGAATTGAGGGCAAAGATGGTTAAGGGTTCTGGGGCTACCCCATCTGTGGTGCTGGATGGAGTTGCACTGCCCCAGACAGACCCAGTGTGCAATTTGGGGATCCTCCTGGACTCATGACTCATAGAGCAGGGGGAGCCATGGTTCCTTTGCACAGCTTTATATGCACCAGTTGCAACTCTTCCTAGGTTGGCAGGCTCTGCAAACTGTCACTCATGCCCTCATCACCTCCCAATTGGGTGACCATAATGTGCTCTGCATGGGATGAAGAGTTTCCAGGAACTTCAACTGGTCACCAGGCAGCAGCCTGGGCAGTGACTGGATGCGTGTTCCTCAGCATAGTATAACTCTACTCTATCAGCTGCACCCGTTGCCACACTGGGTCCAGGGGCTTCCTCTGACCTTTAATGGCACAGGGACGAGGTATTCAAAGGATGCCTCTTCCTGATTCCATCTCATCCCATGAGACTGAGCAAGTGAGGCATCCAGAAGGTCCCATCTCTGAGCAGGCCCTCTTCACTCTCTTCTCTGAAGTGAGCTCAGCTCTATCCCTTCTTATTTACCAAAGTCCCTCAATGCCTGGCTTTGTCATTAGGCCGGAGGTGGGGGGATTTAGGGCCCTGCTAAGACCTAGAGATGGCTCCATTGCTGATTGAATCTCTTCAATTAGTTGATCTGTTCTTTACAAAAAAAAAAAGACTGTCTTGACATGTTTATGGTTTTGTTCACTTTTTTTGCTAAACGTTGCCCAGAGTCACTTCTTGTGAGATGGGCAGCCCTATAAATTTGATAATCAATAAACAGGACTTTCCTCCCTTTGCAAATAATTCTTGCTTCCTATACTGATTTATCTATTTTCATTTATTGGTAATCTCATCAATGTCATCCAATCACCACATGTTGGTTTTCCTATTAATCCATTCAATCTTCCAAGGAGGCCTGAATTATTTGCAAAGGCGGAAAGACATGAAGAAGTAGTATAGTGAATCATGTGGTAAAAGGGACATTTATCTCTTATCTTATGTCCTTCATTTCTTTCAGTGGTTATTTTTATTCCTTCTTTGGAATTTCATCTGCCACATCATCTTAATATATTGGCATGACTACACTTTGGAGGAGGAAAAGAGGCAGAACCTGGGGGAGGAGGGGTGGACCCAAGGGGGGATCAATCTGAAGTTGTTAAATTGCCAAGAACAATCCAAGCCCAGCCCCCTCCCTTGAATTCCATTGACCAGATTCTTGTGCACAGAGGTGGGCAATAAATCTTCTTAAATGGAACTTAATGTGTGGTTCTGATGCTTTAGCCTGAAACTTTAATACAGTCTTGTTTTTAAATCTCGGTGTCTTTCCACTCTTGGAAGGAATGAGGTTGCTTATATATCTCATTGGCTGCATACCTGGGTGCTTTTCTGTCATTCCCTGGTGGAGCTGGAGCACAAATGTGCAGCAACACCAGAGAAATTGCACCTGTAAGGTTGCCCCAAATAATTGAGGTAACCATTAATGGTTTAGGAAACAAAATGAGGTGACAAATACAAATTAGCCCGTCAAATTGGCCTGGACTTTGTAAATGATGTTCCTTTCATAGTTTAAGGCTGTACTCATAAACTTACTTTTATTTGTTTATATCCCATCTTTCCTCCAGGAATCCATACAACAACGATCCAGTAAAGGAGGCTGATCTGAAAAAGAAAGACCCAGCCACACAGCGGAGTGTGTGTGCGTGTGTGTGTGTGCTAGGACCAGAGAGTCTCCAGGTCATTCATGAGCCCATCGAAGAAGCTTCTCTGCTGATCAGCAGGAAGATTCTGCTCTGTCAGCTAGGAGAGTTGGGTGCTCTTCATTTGTGTTTGTGGGGCCGGGGGAGGGGAATGTATTTTACAATCTACTGTAAGCTATTCGATAATCATTCAGGTACACAAACACAGCAATTTTGGGCTAACAGAATCAAAACAGCCAGCAACTATCTGGTATGGGAAGGTGTGGGAGTGTAAAGGAAATACTCTTCTTTCTAAGAATGAATTCTGTCATTTCTATCAACTGTTTCTATTCACCAATGACCAAACATGGGAATATCTGGAAGCTGCATGGAGAAGACATAGAAGCACTTACCTGGGATGTGGATCTCCTTGACCATCTCAAGGCCTGGGGAACTGGGCCTGCCTGTCTCTTCCAGGATGGGTCCCCTTTCGTCCAGATGGCCCTGGCCAGAAGCCAGGAAGGCCAGGGTCACCTGCAGGACTCCCAAGGACAGCAGCAGTTGCCTCAACATGATCCCTTCAAGTCACCTGCAGGCCAAATGGATGGGGAAGAGTTCAGGGGTTGTGAGACCCACCCAGAGCCACCAAGTGGCAGTCGAGCAAAAAGCTGAGCTTGCCACCTTATGGTCTCCATCCATCGCTGCAAAAACACACATTTGAGACCCTTCCTAACATCGTCCTCCTACCCATTTCATTATTCATTACTCTGCCGCAGCAGGTGATATTCAATTACTCAAAAGACGGAAATGGATGTGCTACATTATTTTCACTTTAAAAAACACTTTTCACCCACTTGCATCATGAAGTCCAAACTAAGCCTGGATAAACACAGCAGTGGGCGTGGCAGATTGTACCTACTCAGCCTTGCCAGGAGACCAGACATGCCTTCGCCTGAGATTCCTGCTCTGTGAAGGGGATTGGATAGGAAATCTTCAAAGGGCCTTCCAGTTCTATAGTTCTGTGATTCTGTGATCAGTGTACTTTCTCTGCAATCTCTCAGAAACACTCGGGCCCTTATTGTGAGATACAGACATGATGCTGTTCAGTTCCAAAGACAACATATTTTCTTCATTGTGCTGTTCAGTTGTATGAGGTGAACATCTCCATTGGAGAGCATATATCACCCCCCAAATGAAATGAAATGAAATGAAATGAATATCAGGGGGGCGGGGCATGCTTGTTTTCCTTCATAAGGGCCCCTGTGTGCGTCAGAGCTGGCCCAGTTAATAGGTCAGCTAATGCAGGCTGACCTATTAGAAGAACAGGTGTGCCTCTCAAAGGATGTGAACAGCAGTGCACAAAAATATATCTACATCTATATCCCATAAAAGATAATAAAAACTAATTAAATAAGATGTTCCCATTATTGACATTCTGGCCTCAGAGTTATTTTAGCCAGAAAATAACAATACCTTCCATTTGAAGGGAGACTGCCTGGGGATTGGCTGCAACTCTCTAGGATTCTTCATTAAAGGGGAAAGGGTGGGGTGGGCTGCAGAGGAAACAGGGGAGAAATTTCTTCCAGGCTTGCAAGACTGATGTCACCTTTGCAAGTTGGTTTTCACCAGTTCTATTCTATCGTACAGCTACATTAACAGAATCTTGCAAGTCTGAATGTGCATCTCTGAACATCATCCTGCCACTTTTATAGTCCAAGAAACTAGGGGGGGAGCACACCCACACCCACTTTCCAGGCTAAGCTGCCTCTGCTCTGCTGGCTGCAGCTCTTCCCTGCCCCCCAATCTCACTCCCACGTGCATCAGCCCACAGATGGAGCCCAAGTATGCCTCGCCTAGCAGTGACCATTCACAGGCTGTCTCAGAAGGGAGACAATTTTTAAGTGCTGTATCTCAAGCCATTTAGGGTTCAACAGATGGATGGGAGCCATTTCAACTGAATCGATGGGTCAGTCAGTCACCGGGATGCCTTAAAGGATTGGTGGGATGTATTCATGCTTCTCGTTTGGCTGCTGAGGGATTGAATAAGAGGAGCACCATGCAGTTCAAGTGAGAGAAATGGGACCCCTATAATCCAGGGACCATTTTGCCATTGATTCATAGCCAGTGGAGTGAAAAGGAAAGAATCTGCATTTTGAGGCATCAAACTGGCTCTGAATGATCATAGAAGCAAAGACTGGAGATGATGCAGCTCCTCCTTGCCCAGCCCAGGCATCAAGGGATGCAGCCTCAGGTTAAACACCCCCAGGGAGAGAGGGAGGGAGCAATGGTCACACTCTTCAACAGCTTTTACTGTTCAGTTTGTCAGGCTGTTGGGGTCGCCTGCCAATAATCCAAGCAATCAATTGGCCACTTTGCCCCCCCAAAAAGGGAATGATTGACATTGATGAATCCATTCTTCTGCTAAAAAAGTATTTTTTTTCCTAAACATTCACAAACTGACTGCTTGCTAATCTGTTCCAGATTTTAACTCTGTTTGCATTGAACTGAATTTAATACTTTATTTGGCCAAATGTAATTAGACACGCAAGGAATTGGTACAGCAGCACTCAGTGCACTTGCAAAGCATTAAATAAAATAATAACAATAATAATGTGGGACTTTTGAATCCAAACAAACAGACATCTGGCCTACAACACACCTGACATCACTATTGTGGAAAAGAAAAAAGTAAAATCTGTTTCATTGCTATTGCAATACTGGGTGATGCATGAATTGAAGAGAAACAACTAGAAAAAATAACCAAATACTGCGATCTGCAAATTGAAGTTGATCGATGGTGGAGGAAGAAACAAATGGTTGTATCAATAGTCATAGGAGCCGTTGGAGCAACATCCCTTAAAGGGCTGCCTGGATACATGGAAATTCTGAACCTGAATGTCCCGACTTTGCAAAAAAACGCCTTACTCGGAACTGCCTATAAACTCAGACGTTACTTTAGCAGCTCTCAGGTCCTTGGTTTGGGCTTGAACTGTTAAGTTTTTGCCAGTCCCAAATGTGAATCGAATTGAAGATTAAATCAATAATAATAATACCCCAATTGAAAAGGGGAAGTAAATAAAATAACAAAAAGAATAAATAATAATATTACAGCCACACTGTATGGAAAAATATACATGCTCATTAGACAATTACGTGTTCAGCTAGCTAATCTGAAATGAGATTTCCCCTTTTTTGAAGTCCAGAAGCTACATTTGGCTTCCTCTGGTCCTCTAGCACCATTCCTGCCTCCTGGATTTCTTTAGGGTCCTAGAAAGGCTTTCTCAGGCAAAATAGATCCGGTCCTAGAGGTTTAAGCTCCTTCATGGGAGCCATTTACTTCCTAATCATTTCTCTTTATTTGTGGTGTCTTTCCTTCGGCCTAGGGAGTTCTGTTCTGCTTGAGTCCATTTGGACCTTTCCCCACCCAGGAGAAGATGGGGCAAAGCAGTTATGGGGCTTTGAAGGACAGGAGGAAGGGCTCCCTGGAGTTGTGGGGGCTTCATTGCTGGACATTATCAAAACTAGACTGGACAACTCTTTGACCGGGATGATAGGTCGCCTGTCTGGAGCAGGGGGCTGGACTAGAAGGCCTCCAAAGTCCCTTCCAGCCCCATTATTTTATATTCTATGTTTTATGAAAAGATGGTTTAGACAAATACTTTGATTACTGTAAATAATGGATCAAATTTGGTATTCGAGGAAGTGCAAAAAAGTGAGATGGGTTGTTGTACCAAATTTGAAGCAATATTGTCATGCTGGTTGTCTGATCTAATTGTTTATTTATTTATTTATTCAATTAATTTTTAATCCTGTTTTTATTATTTGATAGGTAACTCAGGGCAGCAAACACTTTGCTATCACCCTATGGCTGGATCACTTGCTCCCTCTCTTTCAGTGGCAGGAACACGGCCCCTTCTCACCCCTCGCAAGAGATCAGACATATGCACAGCTCCCTCCTCATTCTGGGGCAGGGTCTCTAGTGGGGGCTTGCAAACTCAGGTCTACTCAGCTCCAGGATGCCTCTGCCAGGTCTAATAGAAGGGGAGTCGATGGAACCTGGCTTCTTTGCTCCCGATTTCAAGCAAATTTGCAGTGATGGGGAGGACGATGTTATACTAGTTAATAACTCCCCTGCCTGTCCAAATGCTGCCCTTCCTGCCCCTGAGGAGGTCTTCTTCCTATGAGGTGTCCTAGTACTCTCTCCCTCCCCTTCCCCCCCTCAATGAACGCAGGATCCTGTTCTCACCCACTTTGCCCTATAGCCTTTTTCCAGCTAGAACTGGAGATTGATTTTACCATCTTTCCAAAATTGGATTCTGTCCCTGGCTAAGGCCTCATTCAGTCATTCTTTGTTAGGCTAGAACTGGGGAGGTCTTTCCATGGCTTCATCCCTGCAGGATTCAGTTGCTCAATTGTCCCTGGGGAATACAGCCTCTGCCCCAGATTGGGGTTCCCACCCCAAAGTTGCGACAGCCTCGTCCCTATCAGGCCAGCTCTGGAGGGCACCTATGCCAGGAGAGGCATCCTACAGAGGCTCCATTTTCTCTCCTGTGGCATCTCTGGGGCTGAGAGAGCTGCTCTTCTGCTGCTAACAGAGGGGCTGTGCTATCACCCCCTTTCATCCCCCTTCACTAAAGGATTAAACATTTAAGTTTTCCACCGTTCAAAGGCCAGGCCTCAGCATCTTCATCTGGGGGAGAAGGACATGCTTCCTTGTGTTTGTTTCAAAGCCTGCTGACCTCCATCTTGGGGGTGCAGATATGAACTTAAGGATGCCTGAATGGACAGTTCAGTCAATTTAAGAGAAGTTGGTCCCCTGTTGCCATGCCATGCCTGACTCTGGGATGATTTCCTAGCTGTCTATACAAGAGCAATGGCCCTGTAGAATTCTTCTTTTTCTTCCTTTCCCTTTTCTTTCTTCCTCCCCTCTCCCCACACGCAGCAGTCAGGACACCTTTTAACGATGACCCAGAAGAGATGCAAGAGAACCAGACAAGGCAGGGATGAACAAAGAGGTAGCAAGTCTTGTACAGGATGATACAGGAGAGCTCTCTAATCCAGTGTTTTTCAACCACTGTGCCGCGGCACACTAGTGTGCCGTGACATAGTGTAAGGTGTGCCGTGGGAAAAAC